ATGCGCCTGGTTTAATAAAAATAATCTTTTTTAACAAGATTTGAATTTAACAATTCAACTAACTTGATAGTAGTAATTGATCTGAATGTCAAAATGTAGAGGTATGAAAACGTACGAGATTGCACATCATACACGACTGATATGAACGCAGTCTTAGATCTTGGGTGGTACCCTTTCGGTGTCTTCCTCTCCGTAAACAGAATGAAGGAGTCATCTGGAGAAATCTTTGGGTCAAGCAAGAAATGAGTTTTGAAACCGAGCTCAGAGTATGTGTCAATGATGTAACGTTCTTGGCGACTAGCGACGTTTATAACAGAGATACTCTGGGTATCCTGGTAAAACACCAGTAACAAACTCCCATGGACTCCAGTCTAAAAGACACAAAGAAAAGAAGTTTTGCGATGTTTCAAAAAAGGTTTTCTTTTCTTTTTTTCATTTGACTGGAGACTAATGTCCAAGTTCTGGAAGGACTTTTATACAACAATATCCTTCTTTAGAAAGTTGTATTTTTGACTTGTGAAACTATATGATGTTTTGTGAAAATAGAATCGATAAAAAAACCCCCTCATTTCTCCATGTGTACCACAAAATGATCGGCCGCTGCAATTGCAGCTGATATTAAAATATCAAGTCCCTGTCACAAATACTACCACAATATCTAATTAAAGAAAGGGATGTCTGCAATTAATATGTATCTTTCATAGGGCTGTCACGGTTCCCCGAAATAACCGAAAACCGCGGTCCAAGTTCTTCGGTTCGGTTTCGGTTCCATCTTTCGGGATTTCAGTTCGGTTCTGATTATATGTTAGAATCTGTTTTATACAAAAAATGGCGTCGAAATCAAAAGAATGATGACATGAACAGTGATGAATAACATCACAACTGAAATCTGTCTCATCCATTACAAAACACTTGTCATGAAAGGATGGGTCATTATCAAAACCAGCAAGTGCGGTCATGTTGTGGCGACTAGTCGGCCTAGTGGTCCTGAACACCGATGTCATGACGTTTACACGGTTAATATTTGTTTTCAAGGTGATTTTATTGTAACAAATAAAGAATTTACAGGTTTAATTCATGAAATTAAGGTTTAAAATAGATGAAATAATCGAACCGAAAAACCCGAAACCGAACGGAAAATTTACAGAACCGACCCGACCCAAAAACTTTTGGAACCGTGACAGCCCTAATTTTATTCTTTGATAGGATAATAAAACATATAATTATAATAGTGGAATTGCTAATTCTTTGAATTTTAAATAAAATGACATTACAGCAAATACATACATAGAACATTTCTACTTTCTTGGAGATGCTCTGCGGCGATCTTATAATACACTTTGTACGACCAGTCTCAGAACACTGAATCTTGATGTGGGAGCCACCTCTTGTTGTTGTCGCTATTTCTGTAGAAAATGTGAATAATACGAGAGTTATAAAATATTTCCTTGGGCTTCTTTTATTTTGAAGAATAGTAAAATTCGTCCTTTCAAAACTTAAGATGTGAGAGTCAAAATTATCTTTTTCGTTCAAATATATACTAGTATGCTCATTGTGCTTATCTGATCATTGCATTGTGTGAAGTTTTATGTTTATCCGAGATATGTGTTTGCCATAACCGCTTTAAGGTTAATAAGATGTACGAGTACATATTTTGAAAATCTCTTGTATGATAGCAGATGAAAGCATTCCACTGCTATTGGCTCAAAATTAATTAAAAAAATAATAATAATAATAATAAAATATGCTTTTCAGACAGTTATAACTTATTCCAAAATAAGCAATTAACCTCTACTATCAGTTAAAATGACCACTGGGAAGAATTTTACAGTTTCACCTCTGTCGTTGGCACAGTGACAAGCACGAGAAATAGTGTGTTTCTTTTAATTCATTTTAATTAAATGTTTGAGCTAATGATAGTCCTTAAAGATAGATATTTACTAAATAGATCTAATACTATAAGTTTAATTTGAAATAATCCTTGACATGTTATGTTTTTACGTTATGTCAAATATCTTGACGCGAGCCCATTGCAGAGGTGTCTGAGAGAGAAACGAACGACAACTCTGCATAGGAGATTGGCTATTACCTTGACTGTCGGTAAATATGGCGACTGGGGAGTGCCTGATAGTTCGGCCTTGGTATGTGACTGTTGTTTTCAGTGTTTCTAGACTGACGTTCTTCAGCTTTCTTGAGTTCCCTCGCATCAAAATTGTTTTTTCCGAAACAAGACCAAGTATAAATGGACGAAAATCAGATCCATACTGAAATGTAATGAAACAGATATTACTGTATTTGACTAAATCTGATACAAATGCTAGTACTTCGAAAGTTTGACCAGGTTATCCCTTATATTGAAGCTATTCCGCCAGGCTTTTATTCATGGAATCAAGGCCTTGGCTTTATCTCTTTCATCCTACTGGACTTTATTTTTTCTTTGTTACTTGGAGTTATATTAAAAATATTACATTTTTCTTTGCTTGTTTGTTTCTTTGTTGTTTAACGTTCCTCTCAAGAATTTTTCACTTACATGGAGAAACCATTACTTGCCGGTGGAGGGCTGCAAATTTAGACCTATACTTGGCACTTAGGGCCATTGAGCATTGAGGGATCTTTTTCATGCCACCACCTACTGCGACACGGAACTGTAATACGGTCTCATCCGAAGGACCCGTCTCCACGTCCCGCAGTTGATTTCGAACTTTATTTGCTTATTTGAGCACTAAAGGAAATGACATATGTACTGGAATCATTACGTGTCAAGTAAAAAAGACTACGAAATATCAAAGATGGACGAGCTTTCATCTTACGGGAACGTTTTCTCTAGAGGAAGGTTTGCGTTATGTTACGTTTTTCCATGCCTCTTCCCATGGAAAACCTACAGGACACACCGCAGAGGTCTTTGCAGTGTGTGATGACCATGATCCAAAAATATTTAAACATGATTATGATCGCAGGAATTGGAAGTGTTAAATCTATTTGGCTCATTATATTGCAAATACAAAGAGTGAAAAATGACTTTTAACAAAAAGAATGTTGCTTTTGGCTAAGTCAGTGTCTTCTGAGGGAACTGCATGGATGTATCACGGTGTAAATTATAACTTTTTAAACTGAATGTAAATTATGAACGGGTAAATTAATTTTACGGAATTTGTATAATTTTTACAAAATTTTTTCCAATATTTCGGCAAATACAAATGTGTTGAATTTGGTTTAAATTCCACAAAGCCTTAATCCCACCCGAGTTACAGTCAGAAATGATGTTAAATCTCTTATGTGACTTCTGTTTATATTTATTGACCCTTAATTTTTCATCTAAATCAACTCTTTTATGTACATGATGGTGCTAAAATATCACCAGTCACCCAGTAACTGTTTGACAATTTATTTCTTTATACTTTATTGTTGATCCTTCAATTTTTTTTTCTATCCAATTGTTTAGTACATGAATATTCTTATAGTACATGCATGCTTTGTTAGTCAGCTGGAATCAGACTTTCCATCTCAAACTCTTGTAAAAGTTTATTCCATACAAATTCTAGTCAAATGTCAAAAAAAACAAAAAAAACAAAACAAAACTAGAACGTTTTTTGGTTTGTTGGAGGTTTTACGACTCTGGGTTCAACAATAAGAGAAAATCTCAGGGTTGGGACAGGAATAGTCTTTGAGAGAGCAATTAACTTGTAATATATGTTTTATGACTGTCAGATTGTACTCAGTTTCTCAAACCTTTGGGTGTGTTCCGGATACATATATAGTAGTACCTCTAATACTTGAGTACCAATCCGCGTAAAATCAGACAAAATTAGTATGAATGTGATACATGAACGTTTTCAGAATTCAATAATTTTCTACTCATCGATTTCACTTTGCACTATGAACAATGTATGTAATATGAATATCGTTTTGGGTGGTGGTTATCATGGAAACTGAAGAAAGAATCGTTTTCTCTATTGACTAGAGAGGTTAAGCATTTGACCGTGTACGTCTACGTGTACGTGTAAACCTAGAAGTGTTTTTACAAGTACGCGTAACTAACATCACGTTCTGTTTAACAAACTGTACGTGTACCGGTACGTGTAAAACGTCATTTCAACAAATCAATTTACAATCCTTTTGTATCAAATAATTCTATGACTTTGATTAAAGGAGGTACATAAATGTACGTAATAAACTCTCAACATCACAACAAACTCCGCCTGAAAAATATATATTCTATAATTTGAGTTTAAGAAGCTACACGTTCTTACCTCCGTGTACTTATGAATCTACACGTTGTGTACAACTTGTAGAATTACGCGGTATGCAAAACTGATGACGTAAAATGCAGTAAATTAGGGGATTTTCCTAGCTACACGTACACGTAGACGTACACGGTCATCTGCTTAACCTCTCTAATATTATTTGAGAGTATACGTGTATAGTATCCCGGAATCTGTGACATGTGTGCCAATGTTTTCAAGAAAGCGGCTACAGAGAATGATTCACATTCTGACAACAACGGTTGTTATGTGTTCAGAATTGCTGCCATTGGTTCCTTTCCTTTAATGTGAAATACGTGCAACAACTGTAAAAATGAGGTCTTGAATATTGCCAAATTCAAGAAAGATGCTGAATCAGAAAAAAAAAAAACGCAAAACATGTATCTTCCAATATCTAGCAAAGAAGCACCTTGAGATATTATTTCAATATATTGCATTGTTAAGACACTAAAAATGTGCATCTTTATTTATGAGTAAATGAGAATATTTTTTTTAGTATTCATATTTCATTTCACTGATTTTTGTGTATCCAAATGGAAAAGCTGACTCTTTTTCTGATTATAGTATGGACCCATATTAAAGTTCCCACATTATCATTGGATCACGCTTACAGCTAGATGCAGATCTGTAGCACGATGGTCTAAAAAAAATGGAATGGTCGACCAGAAAGCTACAGCGCCACACATTGAAAAAAAAAAACGTGCATATTTATTGCACATAAAAAGTGCAGATCTGCATCTAGTTACAATATCTTTCCGTTTTTAGTCCACCAACCTTCTGGTCTTTGTGTATTTTGGATTGTCGAACTTTGATTTTCTTCACTACATCGTGCACCTGTATGTAATGGTCATTTCTGTGACTCGTTAAAGTAACCACGTAGTAGCTATTTGGTATGTGCGACAAATAACTGTAAAAATAAAGATGTGTTTAAAAAAGCAAGTATAAAACATTTTCATTTGTAAATAAAAAAAATATCGAGAAAATTAATCAGAAGACAATTTTCATTTCAAATATTAAGTATCATTATAAATGTTATTTCAAAAATAATTATAAATCAACTTGTATCCACAAGAGTCGAAGGAAATTCATCGAAAGAACACTCACTGAAAAACACAGATGAAGACAAACAATTATGAATTTATAATACGGGATTGTAGTTAATAAAGAATTGCCAATCGGTTAACGGCGACATGTTCCGGCAGATTAACCAGATAGCCGTATCAAATCAAATATGTATTTTTGACGTACTGTTTTGTTATACCTTGAAATTTGGTCTCTATATAAATCTATACTAAAAAGGCTTACATTTCCAATCTTTTACTGAGCGGTCATAAAAAAAATCGATGATTGACCGCAGGGTGAGATGTTGGACCTGTCGTTAAGATATTGGACCGCATATGTCACACCTTTGGCGGGATCAGCTAAATCTCATTTGCATTCGTTGGTGTTCAACAGTGATAGAATTGACCGAGTTTTAGTGCAGGTAAATAAAATTTACATCAAGCAAGATACATGTTTGTTAAAAATAAATAAATAAAAGGTATACCAAAACATTTATTGTGTTCTCGGGCAAAATGCGTTTTGCCGACCCCTTGACCCAAACAGTTTGCCTTCGGCCTGACGGCCTCAGGCAAATATTTGGTTCTTGGATCCGATAACGCATGTTGCCCTCGAACTCGATCAATAAATGTATAATGTTTTATAAAGCTCTATTTATATACTCAGAGACTTTTAAGAAAGACATCAGTTATATTCTGTTTCTGCCTTATGAATTACATGTATCATAGAGATAAATAACTTCTCAGTCAGACTAGAGTCATAAGTTTATTCTGCTTTGTCTCAGTCATCAAAACTATCATTAATAATCAAAATTTTGTTTAGAAACATAATTTTTTTTCCAAATTAGCTTTATTCGATATGTGAAAATGCACCTAATCAACATTAACATGTATAATTAAAAACATGAATTTGAAATAAGCTGCGTAATAATATAAACATATTTTAATTTTTTTCTACTAAACAGTAACAGATTTTATAAGGTAAACCAGTTATTGATTGCCATCCCAATTTATAATTGATCAGGAGAGGCAGTTGAGGTAAACTTGAAAGAGTCTTAAGCAAGGACTTATATTTCTAGTTAACTTCAGAGCTAAAAATAATGCTTTATCGCAATATATGAATTATTCACTATTTTTTTCTTATTTTGCATTCATTATTTTTGTTCTCAAATTAACATAAATGCTATGTAAAAAATAGATCTTAGTTGTTCTTTTTAAAAAAAAAATCCTGGGTAAAAAAAGGCATGTACACTATGTTCAAAATGTATTAGATAATTTTAATGTGTATTCCTCTACGCTATATAATTTTCCAAAAGACCCCCCCCCCCACAAAAAAAAAAAATCTGATTCAGTGTATGGAGGTCCTCACAAACTCACTGCCTTCTTTTACTGAAAATATAAACGTCGGTGTTTTACACATGTATTCATGCATCAAACGCAGTATATTTTCTATGACCAAAAAATTTGTAAGCCTTAGTTCCGGAATTATATATCTGTATACCTGACAGTTGTTCCGATAAAGCCGTCCATCTGGTTCCTATCTTCTTCACCATCCTTATTCCAGATCCAGAGACCATAGTCACCACATATTGTAACAAATGTCTTCATGTCCACAGAACAAACATTTATAACTTCAAATGAATGTCGGAATATTACAGTTCTTTCCCATGTTTCCAGGTTGTAAATAAGCACAAATTGCTTACATGGACAATAAAGGTACTTCCCGTCATTGGATATCTTAAACTTCTCATAAATAAGATTTTTGTTCCCTGCAAATAATTAGATTGGATATTTTGAAATGAACAGATCAAGAATTCATATCATTGCATGGAATGCTGAGCACACAGTAAAAGGCATTTGCTTCGCTGATTATATATATATATATATATATATATATATATATATATATATATATATATATATATATATATATATATATATATATATATATATATACCTGGGATGACTCGTACTTTTTCTAACGTCTTTGTGTCATAGAGAATAAGATCAGTTTGTGCCATTGAAGCAACAATAACGTATTTGTTATCCCTTGTGATGGCAATGGCATCTATTTCTGAAGACTCTTCTTCTTCGTTGTCTTGAAATACGCGAGAAAACTTCGATGCTGTTTTAGACTCTAAATCCACCAGAGTGAACAGTTTTCTACTATTGTCAATTAAAGCAATGAATATGTCCGTCCCTGAAATAATGTTAGGAAGTCATAATTAAACTAGTAGTATTTATTCTGTAATTTTTTGATTACTTGATCACTTAATTTTTCTTTTCCTTGCGATTTTTGTTTTAGTCTCTAGTCCATATATTTCTTCTATATCATCTGCAAGTAGTGTCTGGAACTAAATAACACTGATAAAGGATTGACTGAATCAAACAAAATTGCATTATTTGCATCATAAATAGAAAATCTCACAACACTGATTTAATTCATACATATATATTATATGGTATTTTGATTCACGTTTCTTACTTGAATGGATACCTTGTACCAGAAGAGGTATTTTGATAAGAAATATTTAAGTCATTTAGTAAAATCTTACCGTAGTTGACTGCAAGCCTAAAACTGTACTTAAAATCTGTAAAAAAAAAAAATATATATATATATACTTTATATATTTACCCTTTTTATTCATTAAAGTACAGGCAATAAACGCAAAAAAGAAAACAATTTTAAAATATAGGTTATCTGAATGCAAGACATTCGACAATTTCAAAGAAAAGAGAGTTGTTTCGAACGAATCAGTTTCAAATGAGATGCTTACTTCATAAACATTAAATAAGCATGCCATTGCGTAACTTTATAAAATCTTACTCCAGATTAGCTGTTTGAAGCTGGATTGAGGAAAATCATAATTGAAATGTTTGGCTATTGCAGTTGAAATAAAACATATTTCATGGAACTATATACCGTCTGTTAGAAGCACAATTAAAAAATAAAGACGACGCAGACTTGATTAGAAAAACAGTGAAGTTGGATATTTTGACGATAAATTTCGGTAGGTTGCGATGAAGTGCTTTAATTGAGAACACAAACTTCACTCTAATTTTATGATGTTCAAAAGTTTAGTGCAAAAAACTTTTCCTCTCCAGTTGGTTCGTTTTTTCCTAGTCACTTTAACCTTAACCAAAAAAACTAAAGTTAACCATAGTTTACTATAATAAACTATAGTTAAAAATTTTAAATACATTTACAACTTTTATTTTCGTTTTCTCCCCTAAATATGCGGTGTTAAAAAACATTTGAGCTCTGGTGTAATCTTTAAAAAAAAATAGAAAACAATAGAAAACAATAGATAACATATACCGTTATTGTTGTATCCATTTGGGTCGGTAAGAATGGTTCCTTGTGTTGTCGTAGAATGTGTCAAACTACCATTACATAGATCATAAAACTGAAGACAGTCATCTCTGTACAAACACAAAATTGTCTTCCCAACCCCTCCAATGGCGTACAATGAATAAAGTTGTTCTATAGGAATGGCATACAGAATATCGCCGAAAATGGTCAGAGTGATCAGTTTCTTTGATGTTCTGACCAGAATACCGGTGTCGTTGTTAATAAAATTGACATTTCTGACCAAATTGTCCAGGTCCTCTATATTTCGTATGAGTTTCCCTTTGAGGACATCCCAGAGCTTGACGATATTACTGGTAGCACCTATATTTATATTGAATGAAAACAACTTGTGCTAAACATATCTGATACTGCATAAAGGCTTCTTTCTTTCACACGGCAAATGGTCCAAGTTTATCATCTGAGTTATTATACAAATTAATTTTACATTCATATCTATTCATTTTGATGTTTCCTTTTAACATCTGCGTATACTGACAAAGTATTAGACTCGGATCTGTTATTTTAATGAAAATAAGAAAGCACATTCAGCTCAAGCAAATTAAAAAATTAATATAAATTAATTTTTTTACAAGTTTATTCTAATATTTGGTGTTGTCTGACATTACGACAGATTGTCATTGTATTCCGAAAACACTGTTCACAAAATTTAAAATGATTGATAACACAGTGCTCTCTTTTTATCTTGGACAACCATTGTAGTTATAGTTAGATGGTGTAGGGCAATATTTTTGTATACATTTTGTAAAACAATTATAGTTTAAGATATCATTTGCATATTTACTTGTGACTACTGTTTTGCCATCCTGTGTCATGTCTAGATGCAAAACATCTTGATCGTCACCATGAAGAGCGTACTTAAGCTGTCCTCCTGGCCGCCTCAGAACATGCCTATTGGTTTTAATATACGTTACACCCGAGTCTTTACATTGCTGAAGAAACTCTTCCGTTTCCTAGGTTAGAAAAAACAGTACACCATTACTTTAGCATACAATTTACATTTTCATCATTAATGTGAAGAATTTCAAAATTAAAATGAATTCATCAGTTTTTTAAAATCTTATCTCAGATTGTTTCTAGCACGAAAATTTAGCACAATTAAACTACACTGTTTTCTACTTAATCTTCATAAATCCATTTACAACTTTACAGTACCCTTTATCCAGCAGATGGGTTGGTATTAATCATTAAAATCTAATGGTATACCTCAATACACGGAAGACGCCCCAATATTTGAGACACCAAGGAATCGCCATCTTGCAGCAGGGCACTTTCAGAGAGTCTCAGTGTGTAGAGTATTTGGTTTATTGCTTTGTCGGACGGAAAAACGTCAACAGCAATTTCAAAGTCCTCTAAAAGCTGCCTGAAAAGAGAGGATCCCGAGAAATACTGAAATATGATAACATTATAGATATTCCTTTACTTAAATAAATCGAATTATTTATCAACCAAAAGCAAGCAAACAAACAAACAAATGAATGAATAAATACCCCCCCCCCCCCAACACACACACAAATAAAACAAAACAAGTTATATCAAAGGTCGCTTGTTCCTCAACTGCATGAAAAAATCCTGCCGATTTTCTTATTTTCAAATTAATTTATATCTTTAATGTAGAAATGTTGTACATGTAACAAGACATTTTTACGACATTGCCTCAAACGAACATTTTTAGGAATTAAAATCAGTAGAGAAACAGTAAAGAATATGAAAGAAATGTCAGTCTGTAACATCTTCATATGAAAACATTAAGTAAAATGCTTTCTAGATTTGAAATAGATAATATTTTACAAAAGTTGAAATTTAAAATTGATTTCAATAAATAAGAATCTAAGATACCAAGAATGTACATATGATTTCATTCATAAGAGTTTTGTTAATGATCTAGTACAACAATTTGATGAAAAATATTAAGCAATAGGTAAAGATTATTTACAAAGAAAACAAAATTGTATTCACCTAATAGAAGTCCCCTTAAGCCTATGTAACAAGAAATAAAAGTTACAAAGGCACTCTTGTTTGGTTTTGTGCAAATCTCCAGACATAATTCTATGGTATGCCAGGTTCTTCAGTTTTCGAGTGTTATAGCGGTCGCCATTTTGAAATGGCTGCTCTGCAACCTGTCTATCTGCTGAATCAGAAATACCCTGGCGGTCTGTGTAAGGCTTCTTTTTACCTAAGAATGAAAAATCATAAAGTTTATTCTTTCAAATATAAAAATTGCGCTTTTAAAAAAATTCTCAAAAAATACCAAAATTTCAAATAAAAAAAGTAACTGTGAACAACTCTACAAATTGCTTTCAGCTCAATACACATGTACCTTGAGCCCAAGTTCCACTGAAAAAGTCTGCCAACCCGGCATGAATGTTTTGGCGGATGTCTGTATCACCACAGTAACGGTCATATGCAGCCTCAGAGAACTGTCTGTGGTACCAATACATCACTAGTAAACCGTCGACCCCTCTCTCAACTTTGGAAAGAAAATGCTGTTGTTTTATTTCAAATAGCTCTTAAAAACATTTCATTATTTGACACAAAAACTGTTTGATATAAAATATAAAATAATGTCTAAGAAATCCTTATCATCAGAGTATAATTCCATTGTACCTTTTTTATTTTAAAACACACTGCAATTTACACTGGAATATCCTGAGATGTTGATAGCTTTTTTCAGATTAACTGAAAATTGTAGTTTATGATACCATAAAAGTGTAATCAACGCCAGGATTTAACTTCAAGACACATCTTACTGAAGAAAAAGAATTTCTAAACACCTAGATAATGTTTGTCTTCCAAAGAAGCCTTTAGTCTGACCAGAAGCAATGGAGGTAAACGACGGACAGGGGGTGTCCAGTACATATACACGTCATTTAATACGTCATCATCACATGACAAAATGTCTTCCAATTCTGCTTCCGAGAGTCCAATCTTGGCTTAAATCAAATTAAAATAAAACGGTAAAGATAAATTTAGGAAACTCTAAACACTGCTCACTGAAAATGTTTAATTTCATGGTAGTTTTATACAGTAAGAGTGATCTACCCTTGGATATAAATTGGAAAAAATGGAAATCTACAGTAAATGACACAGTTTGAATTAGATTAATGTGTTCTGAATATTATATTAGACAAAAATACAGTAATTGACAACATTATTCGCATGTACTTTCCCAAGGGAAGAAAACGACAGTGATTTCTTTTCACTAATACTTCATTGTCTTTGAACATTTTTCCTAGAGAAATGAAGCAGGTACCCTATGTTGAAAATGAACTAGATGAATTCAACATGAACACCTAATAAATATGATAAAAATTTCCCAAAGTCTCAAAGCATTTTTCATAAGTGTTTAGAGCTTCCATAAGTATTAAGCTGTTAAGTACTTGGATATATCATACTACATATACTTAAAGCTTAATGAAGTTTAACCACCATATGAAAATTTACACAATAAACATAACTCCATAATCATCAAAATGAAACAAGCTTTATATTGCATATTCAAATCTTGACAAAAATTGTAACAGCAACTCTTCTAGGATTTACCAAGGCCACTGTGCTAGTGGTGCTGAAATGTTTTAGTGTCAAAGTAAAATGAATATGTATAGTAGCTATAGATTTCTTAATAATGCTGATTTCTTTTCTTACCCCCCCCCCCCCCCCCCCTTTCCGCATCTTCCTTTGCGAATGTGCATGGTGAACATATATTTTTAATTGAAACAAGAAATCAATTTCTAATTATACTTAGAAATCTCAACGTGACAATGGTATTTCCTATGTATAAAATACATACCAGCAGTTAGATACCCAAAAGCCTTGGAAGTCAATAACTTTCCGTGCAGAACCTCCAATCTCTGGAACAGTTTATTGATACTTGCACGAACAGTTTTCTCCAAGCTGGTTTGATCAACCGAGTAGTATGATGCCCAGGTACTAGCTGTGTCGTATGAGAGTTTCAGGAACAATGCTAGAGGACATTCATTAAAAGCTGAAACCAAGACAAGCCGCTGATCGGATGTTAATGTTCTGTTGTCATTTTCTAACCAGCCGTTGATTATTTGATGGACATCATCTTTAGTGAAGGGCCTGAGTTGTAAAATGTTGGTGTCCTCCTTTACGATAACCTGAAAACAACATCAATTTTTAAATGGAAAATGCTTACATTACAGAACATGTACAAGTAAAAAGCAGTTTTCTTCACTTAGAGAAAGCTTATGTCAGAAAGCTTGTGTTTCCGTTGACGAAAAAAAAAGAAAAAAAGCAGTGCTCACCTTCAACTTTCGGAAACACTCATATTTTGGGTCTTCTAGAGTGGATACAACTAGTTTGACGTTGTCCGGAAGAATTTTCGGCAGCCAAAACAACTCCCTTGCACCATTTGACGCATTGAACTGGTCTAATGCGTCAATATACAATACGATCGGTTTGTCTGGAGAGACGCCCTGGAGACTTGTTTGAAAATCAGACAGTATGTGCTTAATGTCACCCTGTGAAAAAAGAATGTTTTCAATTATTTAAAAAATGGTTGATGTATATTACAGGGATGAAATATTGCAATATTTCAGAAAGAATATACTAGCATAACCCACGTAAGCTGCTACGTATTTTTTCTGCAATGAATTGCAACACTCATCTCCACCTTAACCTTTTTTACATTTATACTTTGGTATAAATCATTTCTACCATGTGGGTGAAAGTGTATTGTGCATTGTTGATAGATACGTTACATTAATGGAAGGGCCATGAAACAGCTGACACTTTTTATAATTTTTTTTTCACACGGATTGCTAATTTTTAATCTATCTAGTCAAGAAGTTAATTGTGTTTATTATAGATCAAGAGAAATCAGTTTTCATGAGGAATGAAGGAGAAAATGTTCAATGGATATAGATATTACCAGTAAACAAAATATGTGTTGAAAAGTCATGAAAAATTTGTTTTCTTTTACCTCTGCCTTGTAAGCGTATTGTCCCTTTGCTTCTTTAATTTGTTGTGCTAAGATTTGTAGAAATGGAATGATGTCCGTGCTTTCATATGTGGTTCCAACAAACCTTTGTTAAGTAAAGTCAGATTTAGAATAAACTTTCGAGATCTTTATTAAATATACGCTTGTCATGGATGAACACTTGACAAGGAACTTAACAAAAGGAATGAAATTTTAAAAAGAAAGCACTTAATTGTTAACAAACATTACAAAAGATATGTAACAGTGTATGCTTTGTAATTTGTCGGATTCATCTTAAAAAGTACTGATCTGAACAAAAAAAGAAAAAAAACCATATACCTCATGATTACCGACACCTTCTCTGATAGCCAAGATTTCGTTCGTGAAGCTGCCATAGCCATGAGTGTTGTCTTCCCAGATCCAGAGGTTGCATGAACAATAAATGGACATTTACTAGGTCCTTGTAAGTAGCTTTTAATTTTCTACAATGTTTAAAGATAGGTAACATCTAAACAGTAAACTTTTTTTTATTACAAATATAATATAATTAATTTGTTTAGTTAATTAGATAATATTTTGTTTTAAATTCATTATGTAATCACTACAATATATAGACATGAACTGAAACTATCTGAAAGCATATCAGTGTACGTTAAACACCTGCAAGTCTTCAACACGCCCAAAAGCTTGCGATTTCTTGCGACAGAATTCAAGGTGCTGAAGACATTCTTCTAGCAACGGCTCTCGTTTGCTCTCTTGTTCGCGTTCCACAATAGCTTTATCAATCATCGTCATCATGTGACGTTCAAAATCTTCATTTATTTGTTGCAGGTATTGCATATGTTCAGGTAGAGAAGGGTCTACACCTAAGTAAAATATTAATCTCGTAACGTATTTTGACATTGTGAGTAAAAATATGGTAAAAGAAGTCGAAATCGAAATCTATTATAAAAATATCGAAAACAGACGGAAAACAGAAGAAAATTCCAATGGCAGGAGTAAAACTTCAAATGTTAAATTACATAAAATACATTTCACAATTACAAGTCTGAAATCCTCGAATCCTACAGTATTGTGCTCAATAAGAAAAAACAGGCAAAAACCATGAATCCATATTGAAAGTAGAGAGGTCAGTCAGCTATACATGTACCTCTGTCCTGTTTGAAAATGGTAGAAAAGAAACTAAAGGTAGAGACTTTTAAGATTTCTTGCAGAGAGACAAACAAGCAACGGTAAAAATCAATTGTCATTCAACTTCTTTTATGGAACTACATGTAACAAGAAATTAAAGTGAGATAATGTAAGAAATGTCCATTGAAACAAACGTGGTAAATTTTGACAAATTAGACTTTAAATAAACTTAAGCTACATTCCTTGCACCTTTCTCTGTCCATGGGATGATGTATTCATGAATGTTGTCTGAAGGCAGTGAATCCATCATCTTTTGTTTAAGGTTGTTTAAAAGTCTACGAGAATTCTGCCATTTCTTTTCCTGACCCAAGCATTCTGAAAGTGTGATGAATTTTCCCACATTTCGATGACTTCGGACAATTTATATAATTGATACACTCATGTATATGATGCTTTAATAAATTTGCTAAGTTTTTATTAAATCTATTTTTAAAAAATTATGCATATGCTTTATTTTGCGTGAGAAAAATACTTGACAAATGAAATTTTGAATATTTCATTATTTTCAAAGATTACCAACGCACCGATATATCTGGACAGTTGCCAACTAGGCTCCACATTTTCTATGTTCTTTATAGTGCGTTTGAACCAAAGACACTGGTTGTTCGTGTTGCTGCACTCTAGAACACCTTTCAGGACCTCTAGATGTGTTACTTTGTAGAAAAAAGTCATAATTTGACATTACCTACTACATATTGCTAATTTCTGTTTTAAAAGAATACAAGTCCTTCAAAACATTTATGCACTAATGCGAATACTCATGCGAATACATTAAGTTATACCAATTGAAACTCAAAACAATTATACTGATATTTTACTTGATATGATATATTTCATGGCTTCCTGTTCTCCTAGCTCTTTTTGAGATATATCTATTAGGATCTTCTGAAGAGCCTCGCTTTCATTCCACCATACGTTTTTCGCGGCTTTCTTTTTCTCTGGATCATGTGACAAGTAGTCCGGAAGTAGTTTACTAATCGTTTGGAGGACGCAGAGAGAAGGTAAAGCGTTGTCGTCTTTCTTGTACCATCTAAAAATCACACATGTAACATTATCTTAAAAAGGAGTGGATTAAATCTGGCATCAACTAAAGGAATATATTATTATATACAATAACAGCTAGTGGAATTCAAAACTATAATAAAGGTACCATTAGAAGAAATAGAAAAATACTGTTTTCTATAGCTAAGAATTTTAAAACTGTTACGGGGAATATAATAAAAATAAGTCTTGTTTGGCCTAAATGTTTTCAACATCTACAAGATTTTCAAAATCTGAAAATAACTTGTAAGATGTAATAACTTTGTACTCTTACTTTCTCAAGAGGTCTTTATCTTTTTGATCATCTGTTCCATTCACGATGATCTCAAATTCCTCTGCATTAATTTCTCTTGGCAGTGAGGTATAACCGTATTTGTGTGACAACAATGACTTGGAAAAAAGTGTAGGTTCATTATTAAATAGATATATAGATAAATGAATGAATCGTTTGCTTCCTTTTCTGTCTCTCTTAGGGAGAGGGCTAAAATAGGCTTTGCCTGCTGGCCAGTCCCATTCACTTTTTGTGAATTAAATTATGTATAAATAAAAAAAGTCCCCATTATTTTTTTTTTAAATTTCAGGTTTACATTTTGTTTCCTCAGAATTGTATATCTGTATGACAACATGTGTTGATATGTAGCGAATGTGGAGACTCAATGCATACGGATAACCTACTATAAAATTAGGTCCAGTAGATAGTTTCTGGCACAACTTGAGTTCCCGAAGGCAGAGTTCAGTTCCTCTGTGATCGTCTGTAGCCTCATCTCTCACTCCCCAACGCATATCCACCACCTGAAACTCGTACCCCCGCGAACGACAATAACTTTTCAAGCGGGGATACGCCTTCTCCATCCACATATTCCTCTCAAATTTAGTATCTAAATAAAGAATAAATCTTGCATAATTATATCAAAATTATTGCTGCTTCCCCCTCTATCTCCAACAGGTTATTTTAAAGTTTGGTAAATATTCCTAGCTTCTTAATACTGCTATTATAGATTCGAGCTCTACCTATTTTTTAAGCGAGTTCATACCTGTAAATGTACTACTAGTGAAGATGCGAACAATCCTTGCTGTAGAAGGGTATTCGAGACTCAGATCTCCGCCAAAAGCTTTTGCAAGCTTGGCATAATTTTTCTGTTGGATAATGCCAGACATCCTGAGTGATATAGTGACTTTAAAGTCCGTTAAAGAGTCAATTTTATTTCCTCGCATGAGCATGTCCTGAGTAAGCTGGCCGCGTGTTACGGAAATTGTAATCTCCTCTGTTGGTCGGTCTTGATTTGAGGGAGCAGTCGTTCTTTGTTGATCTGTAGATATCTTGGCATTGCTGTCATTTTCTTTCTTGCCATTAGCATTTTGAGATGTTGTAACCTGTTTGTCTCCTTTTGGAATTTGATTATTCTTTGCGTTTTCGTTTGTCGCTTTTGCTGACAATGATAATTCATGATCCCTTAAATAAATAAATAAATAAATAAATAAATAAATAAATAAATAAATAAGATAAAATGAAATAAGATAAATAAATAAATTAATAAAAAAATAAATAAATTAATTAATTAATTAAGAGAAATAAATGAGTACATAAATAAATAACAAACGCAGTTGCAGTAATTTATATTATGATTACTCATTTATATATAACATTTTACGTTTTTTTTTTTTTTTTTTTTTTTTTTTTTTTTTTTTTTTTTTGATGCGGGTTTAATAGAAATGCGTTAACGTATACTTTCAAACAGTAAAAGCACAATAAGCACAAAATGATAAGTACTTTTTTTAAACCAAGGTTTACGCTTTTGAGTGGAAGGGAGCTACCTTTTGATGCAAATACATCTTGCTATTTGTTTTTATCTGAAAGACTTTTTTTTAAATCACGACATTTTAAAGACGCTAAGAAGTCTGAAAATGTTTACTTAATGTATTATAGAGAACGAAGAAAAATCGACCGATAGGGCGGGGATCAATAACATTATCACCAAGAGATGCCTGGACTAATACATTTGCCAAAATATCACTTGAAAATCAATATCTAAAAATCTGTAGTTGAATCCAAAATTGATGAATTGGGAAAGATAACAGGCGCCGGCAAACCATTCTCGCAGTATGTGTAAGCAGGCAAGCGAAAGTTAGAGGTCAAATATTTAGATCAAACCTGACCATTCAATAAGAGCCATATTTTATAACATGCCAGACATGCCTGGCAAAGAATACAGGAGCGGATCAAAGATCAAAGAATGTGAAAAAATAATTTGTAAACACCTAAACTAAGCAATTGAGTGTATAGCAACTAAGTATATAGACTACATGTCTCTTTACTTCATAATAAATGTATAGGGAATAGTTTATCTTTGTTGTGATAATTATGATGTTCATTTGTTAAAATTGAAACAAATTGAAATTAATCGTATGGAACGCTTTAATTTAATAATAAGTATTTCTGTCAATCATGTTGTAATGCAATGATAAGACATCAGAGGGCATGCTTCCGTGTATTATCATGGTCAATATCCAATAAAACAGATGGGAAAGGCCCTCGATACTTCCAACAGGCTAAGAATAGACCCCCCTCCCCGGTTTTAAATCTTACCTCGTATTGTGAGTGCCATTTTCTTTAATTTTTTTCAGATATTCTCTGTACATTGTTGACGAAAGATGGGCATATATAAGCACTGATTTTTACATGGTGCTTGATGCAAAAACATTTGGAATCGCCATGCTGGGTGTTAATAAATAGCAACCTAGTTGTTTACAGTCAATATTGATCTCACTGAGAAAGTTGAATGAAATTGTCGAAGACATTTAAATTACCGGATGTTCGAGGATTATCAATGGGGCAACATATAAGGACATTTAAAACTGAAAGTTCTTAAAAGGGATTTCTTTTGTCCTTTAAAAAATTATATATGTAGAAAGAAAAAAAAAACTTGGGCATATTTAGATATTTAATTTCACTTATTAATAAATAAAATATATTTTGGCTTGTTCCACATGCGCAAGTACTAAAATAAATGCAATTCTATATACCCTCTCCCCCCTTCCGAGTTTTGCTTACATTGAATTCAATTCGTCAACAACAACAAATGTTAAATAATTATAAATTTAAAATTTGTCCAGCTAGCTACAATCAACAATTAAATATTTTCCAAAATTAAATGAAATTGCATTCAAAATGGTTTAATCATTATACACATTGTTAATTTTAAATGGAAATGATGAATGTTGTTTTGAAAACATTGAAAGAGTATTCCCTTGCAAGGGATTATAGAATATAAGAATGTAAATGAAAAAGTTTGCCAGAAGTATGTTGCACCTATCCACAAAATATACAATTACAGATAAATTATTTTCCTGATTCCCCCTTCTCACCTCCCCTTTCTTTTCCCAAGGGGAAAAACATATCATCATGGCATTATATCAGTTCAGTGCATAAAATAATTAAAAAAAAATAAATATAGATAATATAAAATGAAATAAAAAAAATAGAGTGAAATAAAAAAAGAAAGAAAAAACAAAGAAATGAATTGATAATTAATTCTTATGAGTGGTCAGTTCAATAGTTGTATTGTTCCGATGAAGTAACAGGGGATATTCTTATTCTTTTGTTCAATTTGAGAAATTGTTAGCTACCTTTCAATATTCAGTGGCGAGTACAGGATTCCTTGGAAAAAAGGGGGAGGGTTCTCAGGTTTTAGGAGTCCTATTGAAGTTTTTCGACTTATCTTAGCCATACTTTATGTTTAGTACAATATCCCACAAAAAGATTGATTTATTAATTTTATGTATATTTTTGGTCACAGACAGGAGGGGGCAGTCTTAATTTCCCATTTGGCTGTTCAGTCTTAGCTGTTTGTAAGCAGGATCAGTTTATTACTCTTAATTATACTGATAATTACATGTATTCATATTAAAATATTACGTATTGCCTCACCATTTAGAGTACACGTAGGTAGGGTTTTACACTCCCCACTTAGAGGAGGTACATGTAGTTTGTTTCACTGTCCACGTTGTGGAGGCTTCGTACAGTATAGTGTAGAAGTTTTGTTCATTGAGGTAGGATCAGACAGAATAGGTTATGAATCAGATACAATTAAGACAGTTAGGACAGCGAGAACTTAAGATTTTATACACACATTTCATTTGGATTCTTTTGTTATTTCTTACGTGGTGTGGATTATGTATACATATTTTATGTAGATATGTAAATAACCTAGTAATCTTCTAGAGTTATTCAGCAATATACTGAAAAGGATGAAAATTTAATGAAAGAACGATAGGAAAGGAAAATGTAGAAATTCAGCAGCTTTAGCCGACTTCCCAGCACTCGGCGTGCGCTACACATGCACAAAAGAAGACTCTCCTAGATGGTGTAGACTACTCCCTCCAAATCCGTGGCTTCAGAGTTCCAAGAACATCAATAAACAATTTCTACAATAGGATAAAAGAAAAAAGTTTTTATTTGCAAATTCTGATGTCCAAATAAAATAAATGTGTTAGGTGCAGGCTATGTGACTTTATATTGGAAATATTGCCTTGTGATCAACGACTCCCAAAATTTAGTATTAAATATATAAAATATTAGTGTTGTGACTACTGATATTTACTTAGTGCTTCGTTACAGATTCTCACTGAAGAACCAAAGCAAAATCGGAACTCACGGACAAAAGAACTTTTTGATATACCGTGGTACCTTATTGACAAAATTAACTCTCATCTGTTTTAATAGTACTGATAATGTAGCCAGGTTGATTGTCGTTTTCTTTTAATTCACTCTTGTGCATTCTCTGGCCACTCAGAGCGAAGTACTGGTGTGTTCGTGGAAAAGAAGAGATACATGCTCTAAGTAATGATTGAGCCTGACAAAGGTAAGGCCATTAACTCTTGCATTAATTGACATTCTCAACCGTTAATGTTAAACGTAAAACAACGTAAAACAACGCACTACATCTGTATGGCTTCCGTCAGCGTTTGCTCCTACTAGCCTGCGTTTGTTATGTTCATGCATTAGTTTGTATCAATTGCGTTTGATCATGCGACATTTGCTTGTTTCATTTAGTGTAAGGGATGCTGCGCATTTACGACGCTTAATGATACAGTTTTACAATCAATAAGCGGCGATTCAGCACTTGCGGTTGATAATGTCAACTATTATACTGAATGCAAGAATTTATGGTATTAAGCGTGGATTTGCAACGCTTATTGATACATTTCTGCTTAATCCAGTGCGTAGTTCCTGTTTGCAGTTACGTAACTATAAACACATAACATAGGTACATATAATAAGTAAGGGTGAGTTTACTTCATATGATGATAGTGTCGCCCTTCTTGACGAGTACTAGTATTTTACTCGCTCAAGTTCACGGCCCCATTAATCGAACTTGAAAAATGAATCTGGTATGATTCACATTTTGGAGTAAAAAATGGGCTCTATCGCCAATTTCATATCCTTCGATGTCATTAATTCTAATAAAAAGCGTGAAGAAAACTGTTATTGCAGAACTTTTATTATCTTCTTCTGAGTTATCACTGTAATGGATAGTTGAATTAAACTGCAATCGTCCTTATTTCCTGGGAAGATTTACGCCATATTGTCACATGCAAAACATAATGAGTTTTTATAGACTAATCAGTGAAAGGCTGAAAAAGATAGCTTAATCCGAGGTTGAGCTAAGAGCCCATTGACGTAATCTTTAATTAAACATCGTGATTTTAGTTTTCTTCTCAATCAACACACGCAAGGATGAGGGTTGGGGGGAAGATGACGGAAGCCGTACAGATATAGCGTGTTGATCTAAATAAAACACGATAGTCTGGCGACTGGAATCAAATATTGGATCGATGTTTCCATCAGCTTAGGCATCTGACAAGATTTACTGGCAGCACATGACTTTGGAAATCTAACGGGAAAATTTGATAAAATAAACTCGTGACCCCTAGGAAATCGTTTGTGGTTTAAGGTGGAGGACCCTAATTAGAATGGCCGAGTGTGCTCCCACAGAAGTGACACAGGACACCACTAGTGACAAAGTGGAGGAAGTTAAGATGCCACGCTACACCAAGGGGAATATAATAATATTCGCAATGGATGGTAGTGATATAGCAATTGAGGCATTAAAATGTGAGTATGTGTATGTGTATTTCATACGCATCTTGTAATGACAAGTGAATAAGTATTTGTTGACATAGTAATTTTTTTTTCATTTCAAATCCTGTTGGTTTGATGTAATGATATAAAATTAAAATTCCTACAGCCTAATTTTTTGGTTAATGTTTTGTCTTTTTTTATTTTGTTTTGTTTTTCGTTTTGTTTGTTTGTTTGTTTTTGTTGAAAAAAAAAAATAAATTAGAGTACTGCAAATCCCGACGTCACAATAATTACCGGTATCTTGTTACTGAAATAAGCATAATATGTACTACCTGTAAATACAAATTATCTATTTGGTTAATATTTCATCAACAAAAATTAAACATATTCCTTGAAGTTCCATTTCCTGTAATGTTGAAAATTTTTGACAATGTGATTGGTAAAAAAAAATTTGAAAATCTTTTTCAAAGTGCGTTAAGAGTGTACATCAACATTTTTTACCATGGAGACACTTAACGCACTTCTAAAAAAAATAGAGCGAACGTTCGCGAGCGCTCGCCAAAATTCCTTATCCCTCCAACAGAAATGTCCGCGAGCGCTCGCGAACGATCGCTCTGTTGAACAGGCATCGGGACTTAGATTTTAGTAACAGACAGCATTATTTTGTTAAATTTCTTTCGAAAACTGATGAATTGATCTACCCTCATCGAGAACGAGGAGAAGACAGATAGAACTGCTCTCTAGTGCGCCGCAACGTCATCAAACATTGCCATTTTTCGTGTATTTTGTTTACCACTCAATGTTCGGGAAACAGCCGAAAATTAAGCAAACACCTTAAAATTTTCCAAGTGACGACATAATGGATAGTAACTTAAAAATAATAATTTTATTTCGAAATAACATTCGCGCATTCTCCAATTAAACCCTGATTTTGTTTTTGGTCGTGCGCCGTAGGACCACACCCTGTGCACATCAAAATATAATAGAATCCTTATTTTTATCAAGAATTCATTGAAAACATTAAAATTTCCTCAAATATGATAATCATAAATAAAGAATTACTGACAATTTCAGCCTAGAAAGCAAATTATCTTTCAATAAAAACGCGTTGTCCAAGATTGTACCGGTCAACCCTCATAGCAACATGCCTTCTGTATAATACCATTGATTTTCTGTATAATTCAGCATATTGTTATGACATTATCTCTTAATTTTATTGATTTAGAGTGCTTCTCTAAATGCTATAATCAGATATTTACTGTTAGATTGTTACACGTAATTCCTGGGAATTTACTCTGTGTAACGTTATACATGTACCACATCTGTTTCCGAAATATCAGTTTAACTGTTTCAAAATGGAAAAGCAGCAACATCAATCCATTTGATTTGTTTATTGTAATGTTCAAAAGCTGTAGAGCAAATGCAGAATGTGATACAGGTTTCAAATGTAGCAATATGGAAATGTATTTCTGTAACTGTAGAAAAGTCTCAGAATTGCTACCTTATTATTATTCGGCAAAGATTCAAGTATGTACCAAATCTTAATATTAATTTATTTTCTGACCTTATATTAGGAGTTCATTTGACATCAAACTCTCAGTCGCCAATGTGGCACAGTGGTTAGTGCGTTTCGTTGTAGACTCGCGGAGTAAAGGGTTGACACTTACGTCGCGGGTTCGAATCCTACTGCGGGTCATGGATTAGATCATATAAAGCAAGGTCCAGTGTCGTAAAAGGTATATTGGCGGAAAAAATCCCTCACTCCTAAATTGCTATTTGAGCCGAGTTCAAGTCAAAATTTGAAGCTTTCTACCGGCAATTGTTGGCATCCCAATATGAACGAAAATTTTCAAGGGAACGAACAAACAACCAATAATACACGTACAGAAAAAAATATTTAAAATAATCTTGCTGAAAGTGATAGAGTATGGCCTATTATATATTTAGACTGCATCCTGTTCACTCCCATTAGAAAGTACATTTCTGGGAAGAAACATTATATAAACACTTTTGTCATAAATTGTTTTCATTTCAAGCATCTGTTAAAATTTGAATTTCCTACAGCTTTTACATATTTTCTTTTTACGTAAGGTTTGTTTTGTTAAGCCTGATTTTTCAGACAAGAAACACTCCAGATAAACAATTAATGGTCATGCTACATTTATAAGACTGTAAATTAAGAGTGTTCATATTGAAATGAATGTTTGATTCTGCTAGATTTATAAGATCGTATGTTAAAAGAATGTACACAAGTCTTATATAAATGTTTGAAGATTTATTTCGTTCTTAAGAACTAAATCCTAAATACTTAGAAGTATGATTAACAATATATTTTTTATAGTTTAAATTACGTATTCATCCATTCTTCCAAAGAACAGCAAATAAATCATCAATAATATCAATATACATGAAATCAAAGAAACATTAAATTTTTTTTATAAATTATATAATGCGGTACTGTAAATCTCAAATACATCTCAATGCACTAAATGTTGAATAATTCTAGAGTTTTTCTTTAAATAAATAATAGAGAACTTAATCAAGACAGGGTAAATTTAATTCATCCTGTTTTTTCATTATATATAAATTGCAACGAGGAAGTCTTTAGGTTACTAGTATTCTTCCAACAATTTGGATCTTTTTTATTTCCCATATTACTATGTAGTAGATGGCAACACGGTGAACCCTAGGGAACTTTTTGTACACAATAGATAAGAGGCCAGAGTCCCAAAACAACAGAAAAACATAGTATCGGTAAGCCAAATCACGACTCATGACATGTTTTATTGACATATCTAAAACCCATTATCTTCTGCGATTAGGCATAACAATGATGGCTTCAGAGATCGTATTTCACATTTTTGTTATATTGATCTACATCAGTATCAGGCTGATAATCCTCAAGAAAGTAAGATGTACAATGTATTAGCATAATTGAAACTCTTAGGCAGACTCGCTTAGAAGAATGTAGGATACTACACTATATTTAATTAAAAGGAAGTTTAATACATAATGATCAGCTGGAAAATTTTATAAATGTATTTGAAAAAAGTACACAAATTATTCCTCACATTAATTTTATTTTTGAAATTCTCTGATTTGTTTTAGGAAATATGAGAAAAATGTAAAATATTGGAAAGAAAGAACTGTATGCGGTAATAGCACATTTTTGCTCCTATAAAAACAAAGTTTTGAAAATCTCTGGAAATGTACATAGTTGTATATATTGTGTGAAAAATCTTATTCGGCAAAAATTATTATATTTTTAAAGAAGATTATCGGCAATTCGTTTTTCTGTGACGTCACAAACTATTTGGATTTTCGATTATTTTCAAGAAAAGGGGACAAAATAGACAAAATCTATTCAATTTTGAATATAAAATTTACTCGCAAGCCTGTCCCAGAGTAATTTTCACATTTTTCATTCATTTTCTAATTGTACATACCGTTCACGGTAGCTCAGTCGGTAGAGCTAGCGCTCGCTTCGTGATCGGGAGGTCGTAATTTAGAATCTCGGCCGCGAATGACTTAAGTCGATAAAAAATGGGTAGCAACTGTTCCTTCGCCATGCGCTCGACACTTTGAGGTGAACGTTGCGGGTCCTTCGGATGAGAACTTAAAAACCGAGGTTCCGTGTTACGGCAGGCGTTGCATTGGCACGATCAAGATCTTTCACTGCTCAATGGCCCCGAGTGCCGAGTAAAGGTCAAAATTTGAAGCTCTTCACCGGTATGTGGTGACGTCTCTATATGAGTGAAAAATTCTCGAATAGGACGTAAAACAACATACAATCAATCAATCATTCTAATTGTACACATTATATCAATAGATCGAGCTGGGGCTAACCTGCGCTTAATGACTCTTAATCAAAATATTGACGTAAGATGTATCCTTTTTTTCAAAATCATTTGAAATTTTGAATTTACGTCATCATCTTGACATCAGATCTAACATATGAAGTCATAGCTGATGAAAATTTCAGTTCTGTGGAGATTCAGATAGTTATAGATCTCAATATCAAAGTTTTATCTTGATGGCAAATATTGGTCATTGGAAAATATATTTCTTTGACCCCCCCCCCCCCCCCCCCCGTGATCGGAAGTTTGTGTGTTCGAATCATGGCTGCGAATGACCTATATTTTTTTTATAAGTCGATAAAAAAAATAGGTAGCAACTGTTCCTTCGCCAATCGCTCGGTACTTTGAAGTGAAAGTTGCGGGTCATTCGGATGAGACCTTAAAAAACCGAGGCCCGTGTCACGGTAGGCGTTGGCACGATAAAGAAGTCTCACTGTTCAATGGCCCTGAGTGCCGAGTAAAGGTCTAAATTTGAAGCCCTTCGCCGGTATATGGTAACGTCTCTATATGAGTGAAAAATTCTCGAACGGCACGTAAAACAACATACAATCAATCAGTCAATCAATTGCTTCTCAAATAAAAATGGAACTCAGAAATTTTCAAATCTTGTGATTGGTTATAAGCAAAATTACTTTGTTAACAATCACACTGATTCTACACAAAATACTCTGAAATTGATATCAAAAGGATGCTGGAGTTCCTCATTGACCATTTTTGTTGTCTTTGGAGACCAGGTCTTCCAACAAATTGTTGGAATTTCGATGGTCACAAATTGTGCTCCTTTATTTACTGACCAGTGTTTATATTCTTTGAACCAGAATTTTTTCAAAAACTTCTGAATGAGAAGACGAAAAGGTTGCTGTGACCTTTAATTCGACATTCAGATATATCGATGACGTTTTATCAATTAACAATACTTACCTCCATTCATAAGTCGACTCGATATATCGATGTATCCCAGTGTACTTGAAATAAAAGACATTACATAGTCTGCGACATCTGTTTCATATTTGGATGTTTTACTCACTATAGACGATAAGGGCTAACTAACACTTAAATTGTATAACGAACGAGATGACTTCAGCTTTTCCATTGTCATCTTTCCTTATTTATGTAGTAATATTCCGCTATCACCTGCATATTGTGTTTATGTCTTCCAAAGAATTCGATACTCAAGAGCATGATCTGGGAACGATCAATTTTTAAGCCGTGGTAGGCTACTGATAGATAAGTTGATGTTACAGGGATTTCAACAACCTCGTTTAAAGTCAGCTTTTCGTAAATTCTATGGTCGTTCTAATGACCTTCTCAAAAAATATAACCTATCATTGGGTCGAATTTTGGCTGACGTGCTTCATACCAATTGTTAGGCCTTTGTTTTTATCGTATACTTAATCAAAATATAGGGCTCACGGCGGGTGTTACCATTCAACAGGGATGCTTACTCCTCCTAGGCACCTAATCCAAACTCTGGAACTTTCGGGGGTCCGTTTTTTTTGCCCTGTGTACAAATTTGTATTGTTTGTAGATTTTTTGAGATCGATCACTGTTCGTTATCTTCACCTTTTTCACTTCAAACAGCAAGGAATGCAAAGCCTATGAAATACTATTTTCTTCCATTGAAACTTCATCAAATGAACTTCATGAAATAGAATGTTCTTATAGTTAAATATATTCTACTGCATCTTAATTTATTCTAAACAATCTTAGAATGAATTTATGTAAAATATATATCCTACGCATACATTTAACAGGGTATGCTGCAAAATGTCACAGGCCTCAAGACATCGTGGTTCTTGTGTATGCAGTAGAGATGAGTGAAATCTTTACCTCAGCTCAATGGCTGCAAAGTAAGAACTATCATTTATATACGCCTAACTTGTATATACTCTAAATATACAATATCATTACAATTATCACAAGATTGATCGCATAGTTTCCTGTCATTTATGAAAAGTGGAAAATGGTGATAAGATCGTGCCTGGAGTTCTATATGGCCGAGTAATCTAAAATCCTTCAACAGATTGGTAGATATTTGATTGATGGAAGGATTCTCAACGGGATAATCATCGGGGATGGCATTTTATGCATTGACAAATGATTGGTTATCATACAAAGGAAATTATTGACTAATTCAGCACGAGAAAGAAGATTGACTGTAACATAACACATCTTTTATTATTTTAAATGTGACATTACAACCAAACTTTTACACTGCTGCATTAAATCTTATGTCAATATAAATACATGTACACGAATTTAACAAGATTTAATGTACATTGAGAAAAGAAGTGTGTAATGAAAAATTGCTCTTTCTGTAAATATTTGACGTTTTCTCAGTACCAGTACTTTGATAGCTTATCTGGACTTGATTTTAATTTAAGTAAAGCTTTAAAATTATATATTACATGCATTAAAACATCAACAAGATAGGCTTTAGTCTTAAACTTTATAATACCATCATTTCTTTCCCAGGAATTATTAATTTGGAACATCAGTATAAGGAAAATTTATTTTCAAAATTTCAGCACCTAACAGAGAAGATGTCGATGCTTTCCAGACAATATTCAAACATGAAATAGAGAAGATACAAAGGAAACTTCAAACTTTTGCAAACATTCTAAGACAGCTCGGAGTAAGAGGTTTTTTTTCTCAACCTAAAAATACAGTTCAATTTAAAACTCCCCAGTTATCCAGTGAAATACTTTCATTGGGAATTATTCAGAATCCATTAATGAGTTTGCAAATATAATCATAGAAATGACTTTAAAATGACCATTTACTCGTATATCATATACATGTAGTCCACTGGATTGTTGGTGTTTGATAGAAAGGTTCAATAGGTAAGTTATTGACAAACAAATTGATGAAACAAGAATATGAACAGTCTCGTTTATATTCTTCATTTCGTAAGTTATATGGTCGATACAATGACCTTGTAAGCAAATACAATTTATCATTAAGTCAAATCATGCAAATGCTGACTGCCGTTTTTCATACTAATTGTTAGGCCATTATTTACACACTGAATTGTCGACAGATTTTCCCGTTATTTCCCAATCATGACAAGGAGCACACGGCGGATGTGACCGATCGGCAGGGGATGCTCACTCCTCCATGGCATCTGATCCCACCTCTGATATTTAAGAGGTCCGTGTTTGCTCTGCTCCAAAATTTGTATTGTTTAAAGGACTTTTGAGCATGAATACTGTTCGTTATCTCCATATATTTCATGGTATGAATGTTAGTGTTATGCAATTTCAGGTAAATGGAAGTGTCAGAAGTACGCATGCCTCGAAGCCTGGTGAGGGAATAATCAACATAGGAAAGGAATTAAATGCCACAATGATAGTAACCGGAAGTCGGGGTCATGGAAAAATCCGCAGAACACTTCTAGGTAGTGTCAGCGATTACCTGATTCACCATGCAGACATTCCGGTGCTTGTGTGTCGTCATCAGTTGTCAAAATGAGGCCAACGATAATTCAGCAGGCTCCATCTCTTAATTTGCCCTTTGCCTGCGTGTCGTCAACAATAGTGAAAATGACATTTATGTCTTGACATAAGCTGCTCATTTTGAAAAAATGAAGTCAAGCAACTTTCCATCATTCCAATGTATCCCAAACAAATTTGAAAAAAAATCAATATGTTAGTGAGGTTGTCCGTAGTTTTGAATCTTTATGACGATGTTAACCAAAGTAATAAGAAACAAAGATAAGGTTTTACCTTCAAAAGAAAATTATCAATAATTTTGAAGTGTGTGTCGAGATATTTACAAGTGAGTTTGTGTAATTTATTCTTGCGTTATTATAAGCTCCACCATGACTTTGAGAAAGAAGGTAAAGCACATCTGAGTGTAAAGTATTTCTGTTGTATGAAATAAACGCAAGATAATTTAGCATAACACTCTAAATACTAATACATATTAATTTACCTCAAAATTGTTTACTATTCTTTAAGTATTAGCTTTTGTTGTGCTGACCTAATTTTGTAGGGATGTAATCGGTTAACCGGCTACTCAGTCAAAAGATGGTAATCGGTTAGAAAATCTGTAATCGGTTAGTCGGAAAAAATAATCAATGTTTAAATTTGAACACAATGTCCTGAAAATTCAAATAAATAAATACAAATTAAAATATCTGAATTGTTAGCATTTTTACTTATCTATTTAAGCAGATTCGGAGATAATTAAGGCTCTCTGAATTGAAATCATGAGAGTATTTGATCACTTTTTGAGATGTTAATTGCTATGTAAACTATGTTGTTACTCAGCCTGTCCTGTGTTTCTTTAAGGATTCAATCAAATGGTCCTTGAGTTCTGTAAACTGATTATAAAGTGTACCTTACCTCTTCTATCCTTTGCAGTTACCTATCAAATTATATTATTAAACAAAATTTATAAATTAAGTGATAGTTAAAGATTAATTTTCATTATGGGGACAATGCAGAATGAACTTGCATGACAACTCATCTGAAATTTAATGTATCTGATACTTCAGGCATTTTTCATACGTTTCTTAATTTTATTGAATTGGAGTGATTTTCGAGATGTTATAATCAAAATATTTGCCACTAGATTGTGATGATGTGCAATTCCTGGTAAAGGATTTTGTGTAAAGTAAAAAATTATCTACTCATTATTCGGCCAAAAATTCGGTTTGTCTCTAATAACAACTTAACAACTCCTTCATTTTTTTTAACTTGAAACATTTAGTGTCTTTTAATATCATGCACGACCAAGGAAAAATCAAAGACAATTTAAAGATACGATGTAGATAAATCTCAAAGTACTTTACAATGTGCTTAAGCATATACCTTTTCAGCCAAATTTTGTGCTTAAGCATATATCCTTTCAACCATGCAAACGAACAGTAAATAAATATGTTTTTGTACATGAAATCAAAGAAACATTATTCTTGAATAAATGATAGAATACAGAAAACCCCAAGGTCACTTAAGACCCTAAATGTTGAATAAATCTTGAGTTTTTCAATTTTTTTTTTTACCTTTTTCATATTAGAAAATTAAACCATGACAGTGTTGATGTGATGGGTAATACTATTCAACCGGTCTATTCATTATTTAAAAGTTCAAACGAGGACGCTTTTATGCTTACTCAAATTATTCCTCTGACAATAACAATATTTTTTTATTTCCCTTATTCTTAAAGAAGTAGGGCAGCAAAGTTAACCCACGTTGTCCATTTTGTACACAAAGCTGAAGGTTAAAAGGCCAGGGTCCCAGAACAATGGTAAAATATGAGTAGGTAACCCAAATCAGGACTCTTTTATTGACATATCTATAACCCATTAGCATCTGCAACGAGTCATAACAGTGATGGCTTTCTAGATAGTGTGTCGTATTTTTTGCTTTATTGATCAACAGCAGTATCAGTTTGATAACTCTTAAGATAGTGAAATGTACAATGTATTATTATAACTTTGACGCTTAAGCAGCTTCACATAGAGAAGGGTAGGACACTACAATATTGAATATACAATAATTAAAAAGGAAGCTTAATATATGATCAAGAAAAGGACGAACATTATTATGGTATTTAATTCGATTCTTTAAGCTAGTAAACGAAGCAAAGAACAAAATACTTCTTAATACATGTAATAAAGAAATTTGCCCATAAAGGATATTGTAAATTTCCACATGCAATAATAAGTAAACTGGTACAGTAATAGCTGAAAAACTCCGATAAAATATTGTCGTATTCGCTTTTATTATGTTACCAATAATTAGACTATGTAACGACAAAAGTAGTCTTTGATGAAGACAAAAGTAACATGTAAAAACCTAGGCCTTCGCAGAGCAGAAATATGCATATGATAAGATATTATGCTGTTCGAATCTTCTATAGAAATTTTTGACAAATTGTGGTGAATAAAATGTATTCCATGAAATGGCAATGTAACTAAATCTTTTTATTTCATTTATGTTAATATTTTTAGATTCAACTTTTATATAATTGTATTTCTTTTCAAAAATTGAGGGTGGAAGACAAATATGAATATTCTAAACATACATTTACAATGTAACAGGGTATGCTGCAAAATGTCACCAATCTAAGGACATCGAAATTCTTGTGTATGTAGTAGAGATAAGTGAAATCTTCAAACTTTTTGCAATGGTTACAAAGCAATTTTCATTTATACACCACATGTACACTACATGTACACTACATGTACACCACATGTACACTACATGTATATCATGACTATTATCAAAAGATTGTTCGTAAAGTTTCCAGTCGTTTATGAAATGTGGAAAATAGTGATAGGATCGTGCCTGAAGCTCAATATAGCCAGTCAGATAAATTCCCTTAACAGATTGGTGGATATTTGATTGATGGTATGGGAATCTAAACTAGATAATCACCGGGGGATGGAATTTGATGCATTGACAAATAATTGCTTGGTTATCATTGCCTAGAAATTATTCACTAATTCACCACATAAAAGAAAATTGACTTTAAAATAACATCTTTTCATTTGTCAGTCAAACAGAAATTTTGCACCTCCCAATGGAATCTTGAAAATTGACTTTAAAATAACATCTTTTCATTTGTCAGTCAAACAGAAATTTTACACCTCCCAATGGAATCTTGAATTCACTATGTAAATATACGAATTAACATTTTAGAATGTAATATAAGAAATTTTAAAAAGGTTTGATAAATAAATTGTTCATACTATCTGTGATGTATTTTCTAACGCTTGTACTTTGTAAATTTATCTTGCCGAAATTCAAATGATAGATTTTGACGAACCGTTTAATGTAAAACATTAATAAAACTTTTACCATGAGTGGCGTTGTCTTACTTCATGATACTATCATTAGATTGATCACTTATTTCCATGGAGATATTAACAAGGAACATAGATATCAGGAAAATAATGTTTTTAATTTAAGCACCTTAAAGAGACATCAATGCTTTCGGAACAATTTCAAATACAAATAAGAGACGATTCAAAGAAAATTACAAACTCTTGCAAACATTCTGAGATAGCTCGGAGTGAAATTTGTTTTTCTTTCAAAACACAGATTTTTATAACAGCACCTAAGTTTCTCAGTTTCTTTCTACCAATGGAAATAAATGGGAAAGCTTTTTACAGTAAGCTTGCAAATATTCATGAGGATGACCTCAAAATAATCCTTTACTCATATATTATTTACATCTAAAGTTTCATTTAAAGTTTTAGAAGTGCTCATGCCTCGAAGCCTGGAGATGGAATAGTCAATAAAGCAAAGAAATCAAATGTCATTACGACAGTAACAGGAAATCGACGACATGGAAAAATCCGCATAACACTTCCAGGTAGGTCTATGACTACCTGATTTATACGGATATTCCTTACTGGGGCCAGCAATTGCATGTAATTCCGAATGCAGACGTCTCTTTTAATGTGTGACTTCAGCAATCGTAAAATTGATTTTTGAGATTTAAAAAAAAATTGTAAAAACAAGATCTTTTCACAATAAACGTTAAGCAAATTTCCATCATTCCATATAAAGGGATATTACTTAACACCAAACTTTGAAAAATTAATATCAAAGTGAAATTGTCCGTAATTTTGCCTCTTTATGAAGTTATAAAAAAAAAGTTCGTTAAAAATTATTTCGAAAGAAAATTATCAATTATTTCGAAGTATATTGAGAAGTTAACATTTTTCAAGCGTATTAGTAAATATAGATTTCATAGATATTTATCATCGAAAGACCTTGAATGTTCCCGTTTGAAAGCGTTTCGACAAATAAGTAAAATTTGCTTGAGGTCCAAATTTTCGTGTCTCGTTTAACTTGTTTTTAAGGTAACTAATATAAAACTTTTCTTCAATGATAATGGTTTTCCAAAAGAATTAAAATCATAATGGAAATGTGGACAGTTTTAAAGTACCTGCGTCGCAAAAATTGACAAACATCGTCATTGAACGTAAATTTGTAAGGAAGTTAAAGTAATAAACCTCAGTGAGAGTTAACTCTCTTATCAGAAAGTCAATGGATTTGATTCTGAATGTACTTTGTAAACACTTGTTATATGGCAAGAAGTATTTCGGTGCCAAACTTAATTTTGATCATTTTCTGTTTTCCCCGTGATGCGTATATTCACTAAATCCAGGGCTTTTATACATTTTGACGTTCTAAATAAAAAAAAAAAATAAAAGAACAAAATACATTTTATGTGATTTGTGTAACTTGTGTAATAACGCTTTATTATCCAAAATGTTAATCTTAATGTTATGCTCCAGCAAATAAAAATTACTTTGCAAAGTCATAGTTCATACCATTAGTGGTATCATAATGTCCCCTTTCTATTGTGTCAAACTTGCGTTTTCACTTGGAAACTCGTTAGTATGTCATATCACATACTGACCGGACCGTTATTATCAAAGGAATTGCTTTTAATGTGTTTCAGAACACGCAATTTAAATACCGGAAGCCAATATACATGGATGGATCTCTTTAGGAAAGCATGAAAAAGGCTTATCAAAATGACTGGAAAAAATATTGGTCATCTAAAGAGGGTTTTAGTAACGAGTGAACGAAAAATTACATTAATTTAGATAAAGAAACATATATCAATCGAATTTCGTCCCTATATTTATGATAAGCAAATGCCCGGAAACGTATAATATTCAGTAACGTGAGATTGACTTGTAAGAAAATAAAATAGGAACATCAACCACACAATGCAGGACTGGAACACTGCAAGTCTAATGACTTTGTTCTCCCACAGGTAAGAATTACATGTAATAATGAGGAACATAGTGAAGATAACGAACAGTAATTGATCTAAAAAACATAGTGAACTAGACAGAAAACACTGAACATTCCATAGGTGGGATCAGGAGCGTACATGTAAGAGGAGTAAACATCTCCTGTCGAACAGACACACCAGCCTTGAGACCTATGTATTGATCAGGTAGATGGAATATTCCCTAGTCAAAATAAGTATAAAAACAAAGACCTAACAATTGGTATTAGATAAGTCAGCCAAAATGCAACCAAGTGATAGGTTATATTTGCTAACAAGGTCATTATAACGACCAGAGAATTTTCGAAATGCCGATTTGAAAAGAAGTTATTGAAATCTTCGAAACATCAACTTATCTGTCAGCAGCCTGCCTTG